TTTGGCGGTAACCATAATGGTGGTCGAGTAGATCATGTTGTGCGGGGTGGAGAACCCTCACTCCGCGCAAGGGGGATGATCGCACCACGTTGTGTTAAAATGGTCAAGCACCCTCGAGGCAGTTACACAGTGCTTACAACTGCCTCTGGAAGTGCAAGCACCAGGAAGTAAAGTAAGTCATACGCAGCTACGCAGCTGTCATCCGTACGCAAGGAAGTAAGCACAAGATGCCGAACACCCTTTGCAGGATGCAGCGCACCCTTCATGCGACTCGCCGAATATCTCACGGCGCTTCGCGCTTGGTGATGTGAGACCCTGGTCTGGTGAGAACCCGGCGTGCTCCGTACCGGCTTTGTAGGGATGCGAGGTCAATAGTCTAACGACTACGGCATGCACAACTATGAGTACCCCCCCCCCCGTCGCCTAGAGGCAAATGGGTTGGCGCTTTTGGCAAAGCGCCGTAAAACACGCCACCCCAAGTACAGCCCGCACGCTACCAAACACGCGTGACAAATGGACGCATGGACGAGTGAGGTGAGGATAGCTGCTTACTAAAACCTCACGGGTTGAGTGGTGTATGAGACCGCCGGACAAGAAATACACGTTGAGGGAGGAGAGCTATATACTGGAACCTCGAGGGTTGAGTGAGGGTCGAGATTGCCGGACACATAAACGCGTTAATCGAGGAGCTGCATACTGAAACCTCACTGGTGGATTGGTTTTGGAGATTGCCGGACACATAGACGTGTTGAGCGAGGATAGCTGGATATTGAAACCTCACGGGGTGAGTTATTTTTGCGATTTCTGGACACATGGACGCGTTGCGGGTGGCCCTTGTCAGACCGCTGTTCGGTCGAAAATCAAAATCGAAAATTGATAATGGCACTTTTGGACAGGGCTGCAGTGTTCGCCGTCAGAATTTCGATTTGGGGGCTATCGTTCCGAATACTCTTCGATATGGCAACATCAAAAACGAGCACGAACAGACTCGAAGTCGAAAATCTATAGCGTGAACAGGAACAAGAAGTTGCTTGCCAGCTGCTTGTCAGACTGTGAAAGTCGTACATGCCTTCATCTCGATGCTCGTCAAGCCAACTACAGACTGCTTGGCGATGCAACCATTAGGTTGGCAGAGAACTAGCATACAGCAGAGCACGGCGGTGTACTTCCTTTGAGCGAAATCTGCTTGAAGTTGAGGGAGACAGAGTCGTCACCGTGAAATTATTTCTTTGCCAACGGCAACTGTTTCGGCTTTCCTACAGCACGCAGCATTTAATCACACATTGCTCGATGAGTTCGCAGCATAACGATGCGAGAACAAGACCCCCCACCCCGCCTGATCATCGCCGACATTCGGCACTGTCGCTTGCTGTGTGGGATGCCCTGTCACTCTCATGGTCATAATGCGAATCATTTCAACCGACACACCTTAGGCCTTCGTGTCACCCATCTTGTTTTTGTTTATTTCGATTTCGATGCGTCAGCTTCGGTGTCCAAGAGCGCCAACCCGAAATTAAGAATCGAAATCGAATTCGATTTCGATTTAAGATTCGGAAATCTCTGGTGACAAGGGCCACCCTGAGTGGGAAGAGCTGTTTACTGAAACCTCACGGATTGAGTCATGTTGGAGAGTGTCGGACACACAAGATGCATCGAGTGAGGATAGCGGCATACTGAAGCCTCACATATGGATTGGTTTTGTAAATTGCCAGACACATAGACGCGCTGAGTGAGGATAGCAGCAAACTGAAACCTCACGGGTTGAGTGATGTTGGAGAGTGCCGGACACAGACGATTGGAGTGAGGATAGCTGTGTACGGAACCTCACCGGCTACATACGAAACCACACAGGCGATTTGTATTGGATATTGGGACACATTACGTGTTGAGTGAGGATTGCTGCATACTGAAACCTCACATACGGATTTCTTTTATGGATGCCAGACACAGGCGCGTTGAGTGACGATAGCTGTATACTGAAAACTCACGAACGGCGTTGTTGGTACACAAACGAATGGCGACGAGTGTGACTAGGAACGGGCAGACAAAGTGTGCGACACGGCATACAAGAACGGTTTTCCGTTTCCCTTGAGGCCATGAAACATCACCACCACGAAAACTTGCAGCAACCACCGCCGGCGCTAGTGTTCTATTATCGAGACCATACTGTTAGACCCTGGGGTTACCCCCTGCTGAGCAACAAAAAACGGCATGCTGCGAATAGCTTTTGTTTTTTTTTGTTTGAAGGGGGCACACAGACAGCAGTCCTACTTACTTGAGCAAAGACAAGGAACTGGCAATCCAAAATGCGCGAAGACGGTGAGGAGATGGCTCTTTTCAATCTACAATCACCTGTAATTATGCTATAGCTAGAGAAGTAGCGAAGCCGATTTCCGTTTGGTGGTTGAAAAATCCCGAAACGACGGAAATTTCGGCTGTTGACGCAGCTGGCGCGAATACCGAGACGAGGGTCAAAAATCGCCTTCGCTACTTCTCTAGCTCTGGTTTCTGCGCACACAGCTAAAAAAACCGATCCCCGATTGACCTAGAAGCCGACGAGTGGCATTGATTACCAGATCACCTCCTATAGCTAAGGGCGGTGGCAAAAACAAGGGTCGCGTCAAGTCCAAAAAAAAAAAACTTCAAAAACTTCACGACTTCTCTTCTCGAGAGAGAAGGATGCACGTTTGCGGACGCAGCGACGGCTGGGCGCGCACGCAAGGCTGCCGA